GTTATTTGATACCCCACCGATCAAGAGATGCGTGAGTAAAAATGGACCGTATTGGTTCGTCGCCATCGTCATCTCCACTCCGTCCTCGGTGACCATTTTCTTGAACAGTTGAGCGGTACCAGCGTTGTGAATCAACACGTCCAATCTGTCCTCCTCGCGATTTATTTGCTGGGCGAACTCCCTCACCGAGGCGAACGACGACAGATCGAGTTTTCGTGTAACGATGCTCTCGTTCCCGGACTCTTTTATCAATTCCTCTGTGAAAATGCGAGGGAAAAATGTGATTAAGGGAACGAACACGCGCGTTATAAAAAATACGCGAAATATGGCGTATTGAGATAATTGTTTGTTCTTAATTCGCGATCATCGGTGAGAATGACGTAGGGGGGAGGAGATTTATTTGGTTTCGTGCAAGTGATGCAAATGGAATTATCTTGCCCAATTGTGCAAATTTCCTATTGAATTTATGCAAATTTTGTAAAATTAATAAATGCGATCGAATATAATCTTGCGTTTGTCGCAATCCCGATGATTGTATGATTATATCGATTTGCAACCATTTGATTTTAATACGGGATGCGCGATTATGTATCATCGTTGATGAACTCGAAATAAATAAATTGTACGTTAGAATTTAGAAATTGCTGTATTATTTTAATTTCGATTAATTTTATAGGAAAGAATTGTCTTTATGCTTTACGCAAAAAAAAAAAAAAAATTTGTAGAGAGAGTAGCTTCGAGTGAGAATGAGAAAACGAGAATAATTTTTTTTAAAGAATTATTTGACTCGAGACGAAGAGAAATAAAATTTTTCAAAGATATTGAATCACTCACTAGGAATAATGTAAAATCGTGTTCGTATTTGAAACCGCGTAAAACTTAATAACATTATAATAAAAATTCTTATTTCCGTTAAGTCAATAATGAATTGAATGAAACAAGTTATGAATCCTATTACGTATAGAATGGAATTCTTGTTAACATCAAATTAACTTTGCATTAACTTGTGTATCACTTGTGACACGAACCGACGATTTCTGATCTTATATATACATATTTTTTTTTTTTAAGAGCTATTTCAAAATTAATATCACGTGCCACACGCAAAGCATATACGCAATTCTTGCTTAGAAAAACAATGATATATATTCATACAGTTTTACCCTACTTTCTCTAGTTTATTATTAATGAATCGTAACAGTTTCTCTTTTTTCTTTATAAGCGATTCAATCGAACCGATAATAATAAACCTTCGTGATAATTTATTTGGTTATCATTATGGAAGAGTGAAATTTTTTCTCTGAAAAGGAAAGAACCTTTCAATTTGTCCGCCATTTCCAAATTTCGGCACGCCATAATTAATCTCGCGCCTCTTTTCGCTATATCTCTCGCGGTCTCTCTCCCGATACCAGACGTGCATCCAGTAATTATTACAGTCTTCCCGTCCATTCTTTTCTTGCTTCTGCAGATTCCCATCGTGTGCTGGGCGTAAAAGTACACCGCCAGTAAAACCAGAAGCACGACGAGTGATCCAGCTGCGGCCAGGTAACACAACGTTGTGCAGGACACGATCTTGAGTAACATGATCTAAACGAAAGGTGTACGATACATGTAACGTTAAATAGAAATTTCTTAAAAATTTCTTTTTTTTTTTTTTTAAATTAACAGAAAAGAGGATTAATAATAATAGAAGAAACGAAAATATTCGAATACAATATTATATTTAGAAATATTAAATGTATGAGCAATTAGTTTTAATATTCCATCTATATAAAATATGAATAATATTATCTTGTATAGGTAGGTAATGATAAATTTTAGTATATGTGTCAAAAATTATACATGCTGTGATTTTTATCTATATGTAGTTTTTCATTTTTTTTTTTTTTTTGCAGAAAAAAATATATATCTAGAGTATATTCTATTATTGAAATTAAAATCAAATAAAAAATAGGAATAAGAAGAATATATATCAGAGAGGAAAAAATTGTTATGCATGAAACGTGTAGATATATGAATCATCTGAATAGGACAATTAACAATATAAGAAAAATATGTTAATTTTATATTTAGCGTATTTAGAGTATACACATAGGAAAAGTACAATACAAGTAATGAAAAGAAATCTTTAATTTTATTTGAGAAAAAAACTTTTATTTTAACTTAGCATTTTATTTTTAATAATAAGAGTAAAATTTGTAATTCATTTTTTCTGAAATGAATTTTTCTTAATTTAATTAAATCGCTGTGTCACGCGCGTGTCGTCTTTTTGAAAAATTCAAAATTCTATTGCAATACAGGCATTGAAATCTCTCGTTCGAAGAAATGCTATGCAGTAAAGGTCGATGACCGAGAACATGGATCGTTTGAGATATCGGACACTGACGTCCTACCTAACTCGTCGTAGAAATGACATATGGACTCGAAATAACGAATGCAAAATATTATATTTTAAATTACATTACTTTAACATTTCCATGATATAAATATATAGCCCGTATCACGATAAACGTAAACAATACGAGTGTAACAATACAAATTTTCTATAAAATTTATATACTTTTAGATTAATTTTGTTATTTCATATATATATATATATATGAATTTTTTTTATTTATAATAAATATACATATAATGATAAAAAGATATTTATGATTATCCTATATTTTATGATAATGATGATATAATAATGATCACAAATAGAGTAAAAAGTGAATGAGTTAGCTTAAAATAAGTATAAGTAATATAATAATTTGTCATATTGTATTCCAACATTTATTATAATTAATATTTCTCGAAGATTCTATGAAATCTATTTATTTAATTAATATTTAATTAATTAATTAAATATTAACAAACATGGAAAATTTTCCATTAATCTAACATTTATTATAACTAATACTTCTCGAACATTCTATGAAATCTATTTATTTTCAAACGAAGAAATAAATTTTAACGACGTTTAATTTATACTTAACAAACATGGAAAATTTTCCACTATTTTATTTATAGTATATATAATATTTCATAGAATAATGAATGTATTAATTCCATTTCAATCTATCTATAAAAGATCTGTAGATAGTCAAATTTGAAAGAGGAAGAAACGACAAGAAGTAAGCAATGGGAAACAAGTAAAAAAAAAAAAAAAAATATTAATTTAATGTTGAATCATACTCACACCAGTTAAATTCTCATTCAAACCGGCTTAAGAGTCCAGGCACTAGCGTCCTTTCTGTTTGAGTGTTGCCTCTATACTAACATTGCAATGCGTGACGCGTGACCCTGCAGTAAGTATAGTCCCACTCTCTTCGCGGAGAACAGTGATGAGAGAGTGGCTTTTATAAACCTTAATGTCAAGTTCTCTGTAGCCTCATCCTGAAAAAGAACTCGTTATATTTTTCAATCCCAGGTATCTCGAATATACGCATCGACATAGTGTACGTCAAGTGTGTTTCTTTCTTTTTTTTTTTTTTCCTGTTTACAATGTTGAGCGTAGTCGTAATATTTTTATTATCCCTTTTTTGTTTTTTAATCATTATGCTAATATCTGAAAAATAAAAATTTTTAATGCGAATAGATTGAGGAGTGGAGGATTAGCATAAAGCGTTTTTAATTTTTATTTTAATATCAATATTTGTGTGTATTTGTGTGTAGTGTTATGTGACACGACACTTTCCTTGGTTATTAATTTTTCCACGGTGATGAACGTTTAGAAGTGCGTCGATTCAATTATCGCAGCAACATCTAAAAAGAATCTGTTAAAACTGTTAAACATAACATGATGATTTTTTAATTAATTATCATTCATTAGAATGAAATTATGATATGAAAGCTGATATAAAAATTTATAATCTGATATAATAATTATTGATATATATACTGATATAATAATTAATCTGAAATAATAATTAAAGCTGATATAATAATTTATATAAATTTAACGTTATGTTCATTGTTTGAATTTATATGTATTTTTTAAAGATTCTCTAAAATTTTTCTAAAATGTTTTATAAATAACTCTGTATCTCAAATGTAAAGAATTTATTATAAAAATTCGAATATAGTATAATTAAAACAATAAATATTCTGTTTAGCTCTACGATATTTATTTACTATCCTGGACATTATTTTTCTATTTTTACTTTTTCCTCGATATTTTGCATTCGAATTTTAGATGATGTATCGTTCATTTCAACTCTTGTAAATTGTGATTTGGATTCTTCATTGTGAAGCAAGATCTGCGACGTTAAATTGGATATTCTCATGTCTTTCAGCTTCATCGTACTCTCTAGATATGCAACCTTGTGATTTAACGTGTAGATAATGTCGTCAATCTCTTGAAGTTTTTGTCTTAATTGCACGCAGACGTGACGAGGAACACCATCCTCCCCGTTGATATCCTCCGATGTTCTTTGCGTCTCGGCATCTTCTTTCACTTCAACAGACACGAAGAAAATATGTCGAAATTTGTTCCTTAAAAGAATTCATTTACGTAACATTTTTTAAGAATAAATTTTATTTTATGCATCTATTTATTTTATACGTACGTATTTTTTTTTTAAAGATATATTCTTAAATTGACTAATAGTATACATATGTTCAACTTACACGAACTTTGAAAAGGATTCTTTAATCGAAACATAATATTTTGAAAATAATTCCAAAAGCATAACCAATTTATAAACCATTTCAAGATAAAATAGGATTTTTCCTTTATTTGATAAAATATTGATGTTTTACGATCAATACATTCCAAAGTTAATTGATCGACAACATTTGGCAATGATTTGTTCGATATCGTTGCTTTTATTTCATCTGAGTCCACTTTTTCTAAATAAAGTATCACGCTTTAAAAATATTACGATCGAATTCTTATCAATGCCTTGTTTTTTTTTTTTTTATTATTTTATTCAATTTTTACCTTCTTCGATAAAATCATTTTCTTTAAACGACAGATTCTCAAAATCTTTTAGAACTTTCTTTTTTAGTTCCAATAAGACGTATTCGGCGGTTCCAGGATGACAATTTGCTAACTGATTGATAATATTTTTATTTAATTTCATATGAATTTTACTTAATACTTTTCGATTTAATATTTTCCAATTTTCTTTTTTCATTGTTATACTATTGGCAGGCACATAATTATGAAGATCAACATAACGGGGATAATATATTTTAAGGATTTCCGCTATTATTACTAAGGGATATTTTTTCTTAGTTATTTAAATTATAGGAAATTGAAAAAATATAATTTAAATAGAAAGAATCAAGAGTGTAAAACAATCGTTTTGTAACTACCAGCATCGGAAAGATCTCTAGATAAATTCTTTGTTGGTTTTGAAAGTGGAATCGTAGAGATCCATGCATACAATTCTTCTATTTGATTTTTATCATTTTTCTTATCTTCATCAGCCATTTCTGTATATTTGTATTATTATATTGGTTCTGAAATTAATTTAATGGATACTACAAAAGAAATGTGTGTTTGTATTGAACATATTTTTCTATTATATCGTATATAAAATTTTGCATCACACATTAATAAATTATAAAAAAATCTATTAAATAGATCGATTAACGATAGATCTTTTTTTGATGTTTGTTCGAAATATTTAGTTGCAAAAATAAAATTGACATCCTCCTTCCTTGAAGTTAGATCTTACATTTTTATAAGATATGGGATCAATTTTTAATTTTGTAATATCGTTTATTTAATGAAACGTACTTCGTATCAATGAAATAATGTGTTATAATTCTTGATGCAAATTCTTAATTTTATTTAATAGTGTATAATAATAATAATAATAATTTTGTCTATAACTTGAATTTTTAAAAATATAGATGTAGATTTTATAGATTAAAAAAAAACCACAATTTAATAATTTAAAAATATAACCATAGTTTCATATAGTAACAGAAAATATCCCTAGTATAAAATCCCTATTTTCTTTCAATTGTACAAGTTGTCAAACCTTGTACCGAAAGTTCACTCTATTTAGTAACTGATATTATTGCAAAGTAATTGTCATGGCTTCGGAACGTTATAGTTTTTCATTAACAACTTTCAGGTAAATTTAATTATTTCTCATAAGAATTCAAATTTTAAAAAATAATTTTAACGTAATATTACTCTAATTAATTAATAAAAGTTTTCATGAACATAACCTGTAAGTAAATTACAGGTTATATCGGTTTATAAAATTTATCGGTTTATTAAATATATTATTAACAGAAAAGTGAAAATTATCTTCAAATAATCTCTTTTTTTATTATTTATAACAATCAGTTGAAAAAATTAATGTTATGAATTTTTCTTTTATCGTAAATGAATTGATTTCAATTGAGTGTACAATGACTCGTCAAATACCTGAACATTATAAAATATAAAAATTAATTTATTTTTTTACACAGCCCATCTGGAAAATTGGTTCAGATAGAATATGCTTTAGCTGCTGTCGCTGCTGGAGCAGCAAGTGTTGGCATTAAAGCTTCAAATGGAGTTGTTCTTGCCACGGAAAATAAACACAAGTCTATATTATACGATGAACATAGTGTAAAGAAAGTAGAAATAATTACAAAACATATTGGTATGGTATACAGTGGTATGGGTCCAGATTATAGATTATTAGTCAAGCAAGCACGTAAAATTGCACAACAATATCAGCTTATTTATCAAGAACCAATACCTACTGCACAATTGGTACAAAGAGTTGCAATGCTTATGCAAGAATATACACAATCTGGGTATTTATCTTTCAAATAATTTTTCAATTTATTAAAGATTTGATTAATATAATTAATACAATATATTTTGAAATTAAAATTATAGAGGAGTCAGACCTTTTGGAGTATCTTTGCTAATTTGTGGCTGGGATAATGGAAAGCCATGTTTATATCAATGTGATCCTTCCGGTGCATATTTTGCATGGAAGGCTACAGCAATGGGTAAAAATTTTGTCAATGGAAAAGTATTTCTTGAGAAAAGATATAGTGAAGATTTGGAATTGGACGATGCTGTTCATACTGCCATTTTAACTTTAAAGGAAGGATTTGAAGGACAGATGACAGCTGATAATATAGAAATTGGTATTTGTGATGCAAATGGTTTTAGAAGATTGGAACCTTCCAATGTAAAAGATTATCTTGCTAATATTCCTTAAATTTTTATTATTTTTATATTATATTATTACAGTAATCTTTACACAATCAAGAATAAACTAGATTCTTAATAATAAAATGTTTTGTTGAAAGTAACATTATTATTCCTTTACTTGTAATATATAAGAAATAAGAAAATTTATCTTTAAAATACGGATTTATCTTTATTCAGATTTTATTTATAAAAATTTATTCAGATTTTATCAAAAGATGCTGAAGTAATATCAAAAATATTACAAAAATTTTTTTTATGTTCTCTTTAAATTAATGTTTTTCATCGTGATGCATGAATTTTTCATTAAACTTGATTTTTCAATAAATGTGTAAGAGATTCTATTTTTTTCCGATAGAGCGCGTTATAAGCATTCATGTTGGTTGGGCGCGATCGTGCGCGAATGCGAACGAGTTTTCGTAGTTGGTGCGCGGCCGGTCGGTTGGTTTGTCTCGTGTGTTGCGTTGTCCTGTCAGTTCTCGGTGATACTGTTGACAAAAAATCGACCAGAACACGTGTTGAATACGTCAAGTTATTTCTCAACGGATGTGCGTAGGTAAGCTTACAATTGATAGATATTAAGGTGTGTTTGCTTTTGCGATACTTATCTTGTCATTTACAATTGCTATTCATCATAATATCGATATGTCGTTTGTAATTGTTTTTTGATGTCGAACATATCTATATTACGATCAAAATTTTATGTTTTCATGTGTTAATCTAAGTATTGTTACAGTTTGAATATATAATGAAGCATATTTTTAATAACGGTCGCATATTTGTCGCGTTACCGGTTGTTTGTTTATGTCAGCCATTAGTCACGACCGGTCGCGAAACTATTTATTTACCAAATATGTGTGCTCATATTTTCTCAAGGTCGCATTATTTTATAAAAAATTTGAAATTATTTATTTCTAATATTTTCATATGAAATATCAATGATATCGAGAATTTACAAATAGTTTATTTGCGAAAGAAATCGTTGTCGTTTTCAGTATTTCTATTCAATTAAATATTATTATATTAATGAAAGTAAATAATTAGAAAAATAGACGTAACTGAAATTATATTCGATACACATTTTTTTTTCTATAATTAATTTCAATTGTTATGCAAACTTAAAAGAAAATAAAAGATATAGAAATAAAGAAATATACGATTATTTTTATTTAGTTTTTTCGCGATTATAGAAAGCACTATGATAAAAGAGATAAAAGAGATTAAATTAACAGTGCGTTTTCGATACGTTTACTTAAAATTGTTTTTATTTTTTATTTATAATTTAATCGCAATTATCATCGATTTATAAAATATGTGATGTATGATGAATTACGAATGTATAAATCATAATTCGGGTGTAAGGGCACATTGCGCGTCTACAATAATTTGAAATCGCGAATCCCGGCTAATCCCCGATTATCCCTTGCTTTCTCTCTATTCTTGTTTCCCGACAATCGTGCATTTTCTCTCTTTTTCTTACTAACTCATTTTCCCGGCATCGTCTGCATTGGAGACGAACAATGCCAGACTTTAATATGACGCATCCGCAGACGCGTTTCCATGACAAACGGCGGCTTTCATTTACTACTGCTCGAACAGTTTCCACGTTGGTACTTGAAGATTTCCGCGGACAATCATACTCAACCAGGAAGAGAAAGAGAGATAGCATGAAGAAAGAAGAAATAGGAGAGAAAGGAAGATACGAAGAGAGATAGAGAGTCTCGCGAAGACGAAGGCATCGTTGTGCTGGTTGCATGGTTTGCAATTTTAATGTCGATATTACAAGAGGCCAGTCAGTTCTTCTCTTCCGGCTGGCGAAAGCGCTGAATTTACATTTCCGCTTTTGCGGGGAATTGCAAGCGTGCCGATGTCGCTTATTAAAAATTCTAAAAAGCCATCGAGTTCCCCTCTGGTATTTTATATTCTTTAGCTTTATCTCGGTCTATTGGTCTCTCAATGTCGACACTTCTTTTTGTTTTTTCTCTTCGATCGAGTATCTTCGAGATTTGACACCTTTGAGACTAACTCATATTCATTTACGTTTTTTGATTTTAATCGGAAGAAGAATTTTAATAAATTTTATCTAAGATTAGATAAAAAAGAAAAGATAAATTCTATTTTTGACGATTTCAATTATATTATATAATAATAATAATTAACGACCGCCAATATAATGTCGCGTTTCTATAATGCAGCAAAAAGCAAAATGAAATATATATATATATATATAAAATAATTAATAGAATGCAAATTTTTTATTTTATTCCAAAGTAATCTTTCTAGAATTCTATATATAATCTACCATTTAATTTAAAACAATTTAAAATTATTGAATATATTAAAACAGTTTAAAAAAGAATTCTTGTATTTCTATCTTCATTACTTTTTTAATTTAGTACTAGTAGACTTTCTTTGATTTCATAAAATTGAAATTAAAAGATAAACGAATCTTAGCTTGATATTCAATAAAGTGAACTGAATAATAAATTAAACATAATTCAAACAAAACGATTTTTTAATTCTTTTAAACAATTAAATAACCGATATAAAGTATGTTTTACTGAATTCTTAAAAGATTATTTTAAAGAAAAAAATAAAAAATTTGCGTATCTTTATTTTTATTAGTCTCATTATTTCATCTTATTATTTTATCTTAACGGCATTATATTATCATGTTATATTGTTATCTGCAAATATGTCGCAAATTATTTATTAAATATAGAATTTGTCAAATTGCATTTATTCTAAAAATAATAATATTCATTTTTAATCTTTATATAAATGCCTAATTGAAAATTTCAAAATTTCAATGCTACTAAGGTATTATAGATATAAGAATTTAAAATATGATAAATCATTTCTTTTTCTTAATAATAAAAAATTTGTTTATTCGCATAACAAATAAATTTTTGACAATAAAATTTCAATTTCACAATATATTGCAAATTTTTATATATTACTTGTGACATACATATATAATATTAAGAATCTTTGACACAGGGAATAATATAAATTATATTTCTTTATAATTTTTTATATAATTTATATCAAAACTTATATTGAATAATTTCTAATTAAAATATTTAATATTCTTATATATAATCTCTACTCCTTAAGAATTCTTTGAAAAAATTGCATCGTCGAGAAAAATTTTGTTCGATGTGAATAAACTTAAAACAGTGGTGAATGTGGACATATAATATTTTCTTGACGTCCGCAATTCTATAACTGCCCGTGAACATTTCTGATCAATGTGAACGCGGCAT